GCTGCAGAAAGGGGGCTGCAGAGTGGTTAAGTATTTTCCCCCTCTATTGTGTTTATGCATGGGGTTTGGGTTTGTTTCTTTCTTATTTTTTGTAAGGAGAAGCTGGGATTAGCTTAGTAACATAAACAGGTTGCAATATTTGGTTGGAAATGTGAAGAAGCTGGACAAGAGGTTTTTTATGGTTAAAGAAGCAGGTCAAGAGAGCAAATGATCGTTAAGATGGAGGCGTGGTAGCTTTCCAGTTGTCTGCATAATACTAGGTAGTCTAGTTGCCTGCTTTAGCAAGGGAAGATGCTTGCTAGTGAAGTCTTATCCTGTCCTGTAAGTGTGATTTCAGACCCTAAATTTCTTGATTTTCTGAAACATTGGTAATTCCAGTGGTGGTTTCTGCTTGAACAGGTACTGTTATGTATCCCATGCAGAAGAACCGGTCTTTTCTGAAATATTTTCTCTTATCCTCCCAGATGTATTAGAAGGCACTGTCGCAAAAAAGCTTAAATTTTCCAACTGGGAGACAAATCATGCATCTTCTGACACTAACTATAAACCAAGGAAAATTTTTGATTCAGTAGAAGAGAAAGTGGAGATCAAAAAAGGTAAAGTCAAGTTGGCAATTAAGGTGAAGTGTTTAAATGCTTTCAGCTTTTCTTATGGTAGAAGTCATAGTTATATGGAAGCTTGAAGAGATGTAGCTGTAGCAAGGCTACCTTCTCCAAAGTCCAAAATTAACAGAAGGTGCATATCGCATCACTGTCATTGGAACCGTATGTAGAGGTGTGAAGGAGGAAATTTGGGTTCCACTCAGTAAGCTGCTCAACGAAGTCCACACTTTCTAGTCTTCCTGAATACAGATTGTCTAGAGCTATTAAAAAAAATCTACCCCCCCAAAACCCACAAATCCTCCCCCCCCAAAAAAAAACCAACAACAACAAACAAGAAAAAAACAAAACAAAAAACAACTCAACAAAAAACCCAACAACACAAACAAACAAAAAAACCAGCAAACACGGGAGCTGGAAAGAAAAGCATGCAGATAATAGAAAGAGTAACTGCAAAACATTGCTAACTCCAAACACAAGGGGGTTAGGCTTTCTTTGCCATGACTAAGTAGAAGGCAGGAAAACAGTGAACTTTTTTTTTAATTCCCTTATGTTGTGCTTTTGCCTCACTATCTGTAAATATACTGCTCTTTGTGTTGCTCTATTGTGCCTCTTGCTCCTTGCTGCTAACAAGTATTTCTCAGTGGAGTTTTGGGCCAGTTTTCCTCCTGCCTGTGAGCTCTAGAAGAACAAGACTCAAATTCCAACTCTGTAACAAAAGTTGCTGCTCACATGAATGACAAACCCTTCCGTAGCAGGGAGGCTTATATTCCAATATGCCCTTCAACATGATGCTAACTGGTCATACACTTCCTCCTAGGTCAGGAAATGGATGATAGTGTGGATGATGTATTTTTTTCCAAGATGCAACATGAAGACTTCAGTCACACAGGAGTGATTAGTGCATTTGAAACCTTTGTTGACCAAATGAGGAAACTATTCTGGGTAATGTGTGCTCTCTTACTGTGTGTGGCAATTTTTTTTTTTTTTCATTTATGTGAAATTACCTTTGTATCTCCAGAGGAGTTGATGGGAATATCCCATACGTATTTTTTTTGCCCAAGATCAGGGCTTTGGCTGAAGTGTTTATTGGTCTGGAGCTCTCAGAAGTATTCTACATAACCTGTGTATTCTGAAAAATGTTACAGGGAAGATATAAAGGAAGCTTTAATGAGGTTTTTCCTTCTCTTTATCTCTACATGTAGGTTGGAACATGAGACTTGGTTAGGCATTTTAAGTACTTTCCTCAGAGGGGAGGGATCAGAGCTTTTTGAAAGGTAACCCAGTGTAGTGGCAGTGTACCTACACTGGAACTGTGGGTCATTTTCCTCATGATCACATAACAAAATTAGAAAAACTCCCTTTCGGGGCACAGAGCAGTTTCTCTGAAATGTAAGACAAGCAACTTTTACATGATGAAAACCAGAAAGCAATACAGGCTGCGCCTACTGACTAGAACATGCATAGATATGTAAGGAGGTGTTGGCTGCACAATTTGTAGTGAGCTGTTTTTCTTGGTTCACTCAACTATATAGACCTACTTTAAATGAAAGTAACCAACTACTGCTGTTGATTTAGCTATAACAAATAATGTGGACATTAAACCAAGTTTAATATGAGAGAACAGCGTCTAACTATTATAAAATCTTCTTGTGGTCAAAAGCTTTGGACGAACCAGATGTGGCAGAGCAGACTTACAGACTTACCTTTTTGGTTTTTTTTAACTGAGCTAGTGCTAGGTGTTCACACTAAACTTTTTGGCACTAAATCCTTGAATCAAAGCTGAAGGTGGTTGCATTCAGAAATCAGTTAAGATTAAAATGCACACCACCTGTATAAATGTTGACTGGAAATAGTGCTAACAAAGACCTGGTTTGGGGCAGCTGTTAAGTGTGCTGAAGTATAGGTGAAGCTTGCCTCTTCACTGACTGGATAAGGTGACCCTGACCTGAAGTTTCCTGGGTTACACAGGGGCTTGTTGGTGTAACTAGTGTGACTGATTGAAACCAGATCATATTTGTAGTACCTATGTGTCATCTCACTGCTGTTTAAATTTGTCCTCTGATGGTTTCTTCTAAGCTGAATGGCTGCCCGCAGAGAGATTTGCAATCCAGGGAAAGGTTTTGCAAAGTATAGTTTTTGGCCTAGGGCGTTGCCCATCCCTAATGGTGCATCCTGTGGCTAGGCCAGGTACAAAAGGATGGAGGTCAGCACACAGAATGCTCTGAGGTCTTCGGAGAAGAACTTATCTGCCCTGCTGAACCAGATACACGAGTGCAGGTAAGCTGTCTGGTGCTGGCTGAAAACAGCTTCAATTTTGTATAAATTCTGATGGACATGGAAAGCAAACCTGACAGTCAGCTACTGCACTTACGGTTTGTAAGGCAAAATAACTCATGTGCATCCCTTTTTGTTTGTTTGTTTGTTTGTTTGTTTTTCCTGCAAGAAAAGTTTCAAAAGTGTAGCTCCTGAGGTTGATCCTGATTTTTTCCTGTAGGGCGAGAGTGGATGGATTATTTAATGCAAAAAACAAGCTTGAGCTACAAGCAATTGATGAAGCAGTCCTAGGACTATCTTCTGGTTGTCATCAGTGTTCACATATCTGTTTAAAAATTCCCTCGTTACACCTTTTTGTTTCTGTTTCTAAATTGTTTAAGGAAGAAGCCAGGTTCTGATTTTCTTAATGAAGTGAGGGAGAAGAAAAGGGATCTGTTATAGGCCCATTTCTGTAGATTGTTTCCATGTGCATGACATAAGTGCCATAAGTGGGGCTATACAGGCATTCACCAACTTGGGCTTTAAGAAAGTAATTTTGCTTTACAGGTTGTCAAATTTCTCAGATAGGAGATAGACAAAAAAATCAATTCTAATATTTGTGGATTTGTTATAAGTGAAGTACAAGCACAGACTTAGAGGTAATAAAGTCTATCAGGCCTCTGTATCCACTACACAGTCAGTTTACAGGGTTTAGAACAAAGTAGTATGAAATAATAGCTCTTAAAGTGAAAAATTCCTAGTATCAATAGGATCTCTATGATTTGAATTTGCTTGTTGTTAAGGCACATGGAGAAGTTTGAGTTCCAAAAGAAAAAAATAAATGTTTTGGGGTAGAAGATGAGAGTTGACGGCAGTGAGCTGCTGCTGTATTTTGATGTTGCTAAGTAAGTAACCTGGATCCAACTAGAGTCACAGGATAGTGGAGACAGAGCTGTGCCAAATTTGTCCTACCACACTGCCATGGGAATGGTGGCAAACCGAGTGAATAAGGGTGTTGCTGGTTAAGGTTTAGAAATTGATGCCATCCTATGACAACACTGACTATCAAATCCATGGTGGGAAAATCTGTCAGAAATTGTGTCAAGATGGAATTGTGGAATGGTTTGGGTTGGAAGGCACCTTAGAGAATTCTTCAGTTTGGGAAATCTCTGCTGAACTTCCTGGAGGCTGGGAGAAGTATTTGGGAGGCAAATCTGCCCCATGTAGTTCAGCAGGGACATTTGCTTCTGCCTAAGTTAGGCTTGGTGCTGAAGGGGTTGTCGTTCACCTCGTGTGACTTCACATTCAAGTGTCAGACTTGTTTCTGTTCTCCATCACTAGGCTGCATAAACTTGAGACCTTCCAGAAGATTGTTGCTGATGAGCTTTCCAGTCTCGAGAAGGAAACTCAAATTTTGGCAGACATGGAGAAGGATGCGTTGGTGAGTATGACCTCTTGTGTATCAGCCTTGTGAGGCACTCCTTCCCAAGTAACGGGGGTATCCTTTGGGTCCCTTTTTAGGACTTCTGGAATGCACATCTGCTCAAGCTGAATTCTTTTTGCAACCAGCAAAAACAAAGGTACATCTCTGCCAGCTGTCTTGCATGCTCACAAGTTCTTTAATGGTCATAGGGGGCATTAGTTAGGCTGACAGTACCCTTGCTGGTATATGGAAAAGGATTTTAAAACCTGTATGGCATCTCCACTTGGTGTCCATTGACAGAGCCTTTGCAGCCTTGTTGAGGGTTTTCAATTGGAACTAGAGTTCAATGAGGAATGCTGTGTGGGAGGGCACATACCTCAAGAGACCCATACCAGGATCTGGAACAAGGTGCAACAAACTTCCTGGATGTGACTTTATCTAGAGATCAGAGGAGATGGAAGATGATGATAATTTCTTATGTTAAACAGACTGTTGGTGCAAATGCTGGGTAAAAAGCTGCAATTCTCAGGCTTATTTTTAATGGTAAATATCTGTTCAAATTTCACCAGTAAGTACTAATGCTTCGCAGAAAAACTAGCCAAGCTTGCTTTTCTTTCAGAATTGAGTCTGTTGACTCAGCCCTTGGTGAATCAGCGAGGAGTTTTGCCGACAGTATCCAGAATACAACTGTATGTACATGTGATACGAAAGCTGTGTGGGTAGTGGGCTGAGCTCTGATTAAGTGCTGGAAGTGAGAAAATGAAACCGAATTCCTCAGAGGGGAAGCCTTTGTTTTGGGGGCGGGCCGGTTCTTTGTGGAACCTCTAGTCCTGATGCACGGAAAGCATCGAGAAAGCAGTGTTTGCCCAGCTGTGAACTAGGGGAAGTGGTAAAAAAACACTTCCCTAAGGGAGAAGGTAGGAACAAGGGCTATCAGACTGTGGTGCTTCTCCAGGGTTCACAGTTTGGGGATTTGTTTATCCTAAGGGTTTCTTAATGCATTTGCCCTTGGAGTTGTGCATCCATGAAAACCTGTGACTAAGAGCTCTGGAGTCAAGCAACACCCTGCATGCTTTCTTTCATCTGCTCTTTGGGTCTGGCAACTTCTAGCCTTAATGCCTTCAAGTTTGATTTCTAAAAAGCAATTTTTTTCATTTACCTTGTATCCTGATTAAATATCTGTTGAAGTTCCTAAACTCTTCAGAGTCAAATCACTAACTTATGCTCTTGTTTTAATTTGTAGTTAAACTGAATATTTTTCTAACTTAGATACAATGCTTAGTTTCCATCTGGTTCACCCCATCACATGGGCATGTCTTTTTTCTACTGCTGCTGTTCCAGATTTTAAGCACAGATCTTAGGGCTTTGAGAGTCTAGCAGTCCTGCAATAAGAGCAATGGATTACTGTGATGTGTGTGATGTCATGTGTCTGCACTGCATAGGGCTGAAGAAAGCTCCCCGTGTTGAAGGAACAACTGTGGTCACCCCAGTGAACTGGGCGTGGCATTTTCGAAAAGATGCTGAAAAGCAATGGCTTGTTTCTTTTAGCTGTTAAAGCTGGAATCCTGAGCCTTTCCAAAGGGAAAAGTTTCCATTATGAGCACTGAGGTGCTGAGGGACACAGTTGCTCCTGGAGGAGGACACTTTGAAAGAGAGCAGGGCGGAGGGGCAAACATGTCATGGGAGCTGCTCATCCTGCAGCACTTGTTTGAGGGTAGGAGCTTGAGAATTAAAAGCTGAGTCTAAATATGCCTCCAGGACCTTTTGCAGTTTCTTACCTTGTACTATTTCAATGTTTGTACAAACTTTTGAAATGCTTTCTTACCTTTTTTTTTTGTTCTTCACTGCAGCATGAACACCCAATGAAGAAGGCAGAAGAAAGCAATGTGTTCGTCATTTCTTCTGACTAGCGAACCCCTGAATTCATTACTACTCTTAAAATTTGAGCAGCTTGTGTATGCAGCACAGAGAACATAGTTTTGTCAAGGATGTTGATTTATTTTAAATGGAAAGAAAAAAAGGGGAGGAAAACCATCAACAATGAGAGGGTTTTTTTTTTTCTAAAAAGAATATACACTGTTAAGTGGTCCAGTTATGATCTCTGTGTTAACTTTTTCTGAAAAATTGCAAGATGGGTCCATTACCTATAAAAGAAATGTAAAAAATGATCTAAAGATAATGATTTGGCCACCAAACTGATGGATATACTGCCTTACTTTGAGTGTTCTGGTGACTGATTCTAAGTAAAATATTGTTTGCATAGAATAACAGTGTTATTTCCTTCAAAATGATGTCTGGAAAGGGACTCTGGAGTCCTGTGAACCTTGCATGGGATGTGTCAGACATAGCCTTTCCTGTGTGCAGCAGCAGCAGTCTGGGAACTGCTGCCTTGATTCCATTGCCACTTAATGCTGGGCTGCAAAAGTAGAAAGCTGAGAGAAATCTTCTGGGTATTGGCCAGGTGCCTGATGGCAAACTGGAGACTATGGAGGGCAAGAAATTTGGAGCATTGAAGAGAAAATGTCGAGTGAGGCTGAAGAAATTATTTTTGCAACCAGTGACTTTTGGCTTCAAGGAGAGTTCAAAGTGCAGTGATCAATGCTAGGATTAGACAAAATACTAACAAAAGTCTCTTGAAAGCAAGCACAGATAAACCATGCTCTTTAATATTGTCTTATGCTTTGACAGAGTTCTGCAGATGATATTGCTCTTCACACACTGTTGCAGACACGGCGTTAGTGCTAAGGCACCGTAATGAATGTGGGAACATGCCATGTTTCCAAGCTTTGGGTTTCTATCTGCTTACCCTATAAAAAAACCTCAGAGTGGAGGGAGTCATCCCCTGCATGCAATGTACCTTCATAACAAAAGTCTAAACCCTGACAGGGTTTGTTTCACCCCTGAAAGAGCAGGGTGATGCTATTCCTTCTTGACAAGGTCATGCAGGGTAGCGCCAGCACAGAGAACAGCAAGAAGCTACTGTTGCTCTTGCTTTACCATTTTATGCTTGTTCCTTTAGCTTAAGTACTCCTGACTGGAGTTGGCATGAGATGAAATTTGTTTATCCACGTCAAGGAGTGGTTGGTGCTTTCTTTCTGGTTTAAAAGAAAAGACTGCTTCAACCCTGCCCTTTCCAAAGCTCCAGATCCACTGGTCTAGCCTCTCCTATTCACAATGTTAAAGGCTGTAACCCTGATTTCACATTCACTAAGTTGCATTTGTTTCTTTGTGGTCTGGCCCTGCCTATGCTGTATCCTCCCGCTGCTTCTCAATGTCTTTAAAAAGTCTTTATAGCTGCTGTTTGAATCTAGGCTCTCAAAGCACTCAGCCACAGTGAATTTTGGAAGATGAAGCTTTAACTTCTGTGAACAGCTCTGCTCTTGTCTGGTAAAACTCTTTAGTTTGGCATCCCAGTAGCAGAATTTTCAGCATGTTCTGTCCCACTAGTGTGTTGGTAAGCTGTGGTGGCACCAGAAGTGACATTAATGAAAATAGGCTTTAAGATATCAGCCTGAACAATCCAAACAGGTCTTCCTATTGCCTGGCTGCACCTGGTCCTAAATTTGTGGCTCTTAATACCTAAGTAGTAATGCAAGGTCCTAGCCCTAGGGGTGTGATAAGGCTGGAACTGCCCTATTGCTTCTTATTGTCATCCAGAGTTCTCGCTGGTGAAAGTAAAGGGATGTCTTTTGTAATGTTGCTCCCAGTACCAAGGTGAGCCTTCTAGTAGTTCCCATGTAAATGTCTACATTCCATGGTTTTATTCCTCATTACCTGGCCAAACATGATGATGCAACCAGGTCTATTAAGGTGTTTGATGTGAACCAGACCTATGAATTGAGAGGAGCTGGCCGCATTGTGGATGTTCTTATATACTGGATTCTGCAAAGCCACAGAAACAGTGTTGAGAATTGAGAATTCACACCCTTGGGGCATGTGTCATCATCTTTGGGGTGGATGTTGCCTTGGCCTCTTTAGGCTGGCTCATCTACATCTCCAAGGATTTTACTGCTCAAGGGGAAGGTTTGAAATAGGAAGAGGGTGGGATGGGATGTCTCCCTCTGGTTTAAGGTTCTCTCTTTTTTCAAGTTTATTTTCTTTTCAAACCACAATAATGATTGTTTTTTTCTATATCTGAGGTGTTTGGATTCTTGCTCTCTAAGTTCAAGCTGCTAAGCATTTAAGCACAAGGAAGTAGTGTGTAGCAACCCTTGTTTTGCTGCATTTCCTCCCCCTTCATGTGTGTTGATAGAATGGGATGTCATACCGCTTAGATACCTTCTACTCCTGCAGTTCTCTTTCTATGCCTTTATATGAAACACTTCAGCTTTTTAGCTCAGTGAGTTCCAGCTTGGTAACCTGTGAACTGCCTGAGGTGAAAATTTTGGAGTTTACTGATGGTCTTTCCATTTGTAGTCAGTAGCAGTACTGTTTGGAGGCAAGATCTGGGACAGGAATGACTTTTTCTGACCTTGAACAGTCCATCTCATACAGCTTCCTGCATTGTTGGGTCAATTAAGCATGTTTGAGCCTAAACCTGCTGAAGATCTAAAGTGGTAATTTGGTTTCTATGACAGACCTGTAACTGGGTTCCTGTATTTCCTTTTGGAAGGTAGGCAGTTGACCTTGGCAGGTTTCCTTTGCTTTCTTGCTTGCACTTTTAAGAGTGTTATTAATCCAGGTATTTCTTTTATTTTCTTTCTTTCAGTGCAGATAGATATGGCTCAACTTTTAACTTGTTCAGTTGTCTTAACACTTCTGAGCCAGAACAACAAAGAGGATGTGGATCCCGAGATGCAAAAAAGTGTGCATCAGAAAAAGAGACGAGAAATACACAGCGGAGGTTAAGGACAACTGCTTTATGCATTTTAACCCCTAAACAGAGTTCAATATTACACTGGTTATAACCCCTGGTATCTTCATGCTGTATCTCTTTCAGGGGATGATGCTGTGCCAAATGCTTGTTTACCTGCACAATCTGTACCAGCGCAATGGTCCATCCAAGGTCTGGAGGGCTACAGTTACCAAATGTCAAGGCTGCTCAAAGAAAGAGAAAAGGATGCCCTGTGTGGCTGGAAACAGGCGGAGGAACTGTGTGTCTGTGTTTGCCCCACCTGGGAACAGCTTGCCCTGCTTCTCAGTAAGTTGTGCTGATGTTGACTGGAGCACACTGGGACAGTCCTGCTTCTGCAAGGAGTAGGACTGTGTCTATTAGAGTGTTTCTAAAAGAGTAGTGCACTGGAAAATAAACATGTTTCTACGAACAACTGAGGGCTCTTGTATACTGGAACCAAACACAGCAAGCTAACATGCATTACAGGGTGACTTCTGTTTATCATGAGGAAGAGTTGAGAAAACATTACTGAAAATCAGACTATGAGAGAAACCTTGTAAAGCTGAGTCTTAGCACTAACCAGAAAATTGGATTTATCTTCTTTAAATTGAATGTTCCTGGACTGGTCTTTGGTAAAGCTCATTCCTTCCTCCTCTTCCCTTGGGAAGTCATCATTGTGGCTAGACTTTGCAAACAAAGATTTGAGAAGGGCTCTACCCACGCTTGCTACAAGCGCGCTGATGGCTAAAAAGGTCAAAGTGAGATAGACAAGTCCGGTTGCAGAAGACACAGCAGAAAGGCTCCCCAGGTGATATCGACAAGACGCGATTCTTTCTGTGTTGTCTTTTCTCCTCGAGAGTGATCCTGCGTGTGTTCTCAAAAGCAGCAGCAGCGTTATAGATGGTGTGTCTCCAGGCCTCCCGATTGGAGGCCAGAGTAGACCAATGGTGGTGGTCAATATTGCCAAGGCTGAGGGATTGTTTCAGGCAGTCCTTGTATCTCCTCTTCGGGCCTCCTCTCTTGCGGCAGCCAGTGGCAAGTTCCCCATAGAGCACGATCTTAGGGAGGCGATGGTCCTGCATCCTGGAGACGTGCCCTGCCCAGCGCAGCTGAGTTCTCAGCAGCATGGCCTCAATGCTTGTGACTGCTGCCTGTTCAAGGACAGACATGATGGTCACATAGTCAGTCCAGTGGATGTTTAGGACTGTATGGAGGCAGTGCTGATGGAAGCGTTCTAAGGATCGCACGTGGTGGCGGTAAATGACCCGTGATTCAGATTGGGAAGTCACTAACATCCAAAAACAGTGAATCAAACTCATTACCTTTCTTCTTTACTTCCCTTTCCCCCCACATATACCCTTTGGTGAGTCCAAACTAGAAGGATCAAGTGTTTGCATCTCTTCTCCCATGTTTGTATTCTCAAGCTGAAAGAAGGGTTGTTTTTGAGATTGATTTATCCATTGTCTCTCCTCTGTTTAGTACCATCAGGTTCCAACTGAAAGTAATCTGAGAAATAAAGGATGACTTGATAGGCAAGTACAACCTTTGAACAAACAAGTTATTGCAGTTTGACCTTTGCTTGAAAACCAAGTTTTTAGTGGTAGTGGGACAAAAACCACAGGGAAGCTTTACATGAACACCAGTAAAGATGATGTGTAAAGTTGTGGAGGCTGTTTCTCGGACTGAAGTGAATGCCCTAAGAACTTCCTGAAAAAGTTTGAGAAAACCATCTCAAACAGTTTGAAAAAGCAGCCTCAAATAACCACTTTTCAGCAATCTGATGCCTTAAAGAGGAGTGGAGACAGCCTGATAGTAAAATTTGTTTATTTACAGTGTTATGTGTTACAGGAAAATCAGTTTAAAAAGTCAACGCTTCTCTTTCTTCAAAGTTGCGGCATTTTGAAGATGTTAAGACATATCTCAAGAATTTTAAACATACCTGATTCCAGCCTTCCTGGCTGCTCTGGATCTGCAAGGTGAGACCACCTCGGGTTTTTTTCCTTTTCTTTTTTTTTTTTTTTTTTTTTTTTTTTTTTTTTTCCCCAGCCCTTTGAATTTCAAGTAAGGCATTTATTT